GTCTCACTCCACCGAAAACGTGGGTCTCTCTACCCACACAACGTTCATCTCACTTCTTCAGAAAAGTCAATCGCATTATTTCCGGGACCTTCGTCCAACACCTTTTGAAATGTTCATCTCACTCATTCCTGACTCATCATCACTCGTCACAGAATGTGAATCTCACTCCTTCCGGGACGTGCGTCCCGCTACCTATTATGGGACGTTCGACATTCTCACTTCAGAATGACAATGTCACTCGTTCCGGGCCGTCCGATCACTCCTTCCGGGCCGTCCGTCTCACTCCTTCTGGGCCGCCCGTCTCACTCCCCCGTACCGTCCGTCTCACTTATTCCGTACCAGTACCGTCCGTCTCACTCCTTCCGGGCCGTCCGTCTCACTCATTCAGGGACGTCCGTCTCAGCCCAAACGAGGGGTCCGTTTTGCCTAACATCAACATACCTGCCAGTGTGGGCTGTTATTTTACCTAGATCCTTTTGCATTTGAGAGTTGGACTGTCGAAAATATCTACTGAGAGAAGAAATTTCACCAAATAATTCCACATAACAGCGTACAATTTTGTTGTACTAAGTTCTTAACACCTTTCACTACGATGCACTGCATTTAAGCAGCAGTACCTTCGTGTGGCACGCGGAAATATTTGCGAATACTCCACCCAAAGTGGGCAAAAATTTAGCCAACACATCGTACAAATAGTCATATAGCGGTCCACCCTGCGAGACTACTCAAGCCGATCACGTCCGTTTCGGCTCAGAATTTGGACACATTGTCGGGGTGTATGCCGACCTGCAGCACACCAGCCGGTGGGCCAGGCGCTGTTTACCGGGCGGCCAGCGCGGCGGCTGCTGCAGCACGGTAGACAGCCGCGGCCTTGGGCGCCGGGTGTAGCCGGACGCAGAGCCGACGCGCCCCGCCCGGCCGCCCGCCCGCCCGGCCGGCCAGCACGGGCACCGGGTACGGTCAGGTGGCTGGCCGGTCACGGCGAGAGGAGAGATGAGGAGAGAGGAGGAGAGAGAGAGAGAGAGAGAGAGAGAGAGAGAGAGAGAGAGAGAGAGAGAGAGAGAGAGAGAGAGAGAGAGAGAGAGAGAGAGAGAGAGAGAGAGAGAGAGAGAGAGAGAGAGAGAGAGAGAGGGATGGGATGGGATGGAGGGGAAAAGACTGCACCGGACCGACAGGATCGGAAAGAGATACTGGACCGGACAGACAGAAGCGGCGAGGGGAGCCGGACATACATGATCGGGGAACGATATTGAACCGGACATAACTACATGATAGAGGAGAGATACTGAACCGGACACGACGAACCTTGACGGAAGAGACCTACACGGGGACCTACAAGAGACTAGAGTCGGACAGAGACCGGGAGTGGGACAGTCACTGGGAGTCAAGGCAGGGACAGCGACTGGGAGCAGGGACAGCCGGACAGAGACTGGGAGTGGGACAGCGACTGGGAGTAGGTCAGGGACTGGGAGTGGGACAGAGACTGGGAGTCGGGACAGGTTCTGGGAGCAGGGACAGCCGGACAGAGACTGGGAGTAGAGACAGAAACTTCAGTCGGGACAGGGACAGTCGGGACAGTCGGACAGAGTCGGGAGCCGAGCCCGGGCGGCAGAGTGACAACTATATGGGTCACGTTACCGGGCCGCGAATGCCGCCCGCCGGACAGGCCCACTGACAGCTGACGGCCACACGTCAGCGGCGGCCTGGCGAGCCCCGAACACCAGCGGCGGCGACCCGGGCCACCTCACGAGCCGCTCGTGCACACAGGCACGTGATCGCTCCAGGGTCGGCCTGGGCACGCAGCCGCCGCGGGCCGCGCCGACCAGCCCGGCCTGCTGTCAGGCCAGGGGGAGCGACATACGACGTGCCGCTGCCGCTGTCCACGCGAGAGCAAACACCACCGACCCGAGCAGGCGCGGGGGCCACGTGTGACCTCAGCCCGGCAAGGGCGGTTTCCGCGTGACCGCCACGATTGGCGGAATGGATGGTGGGCGCTGACTAACACCTAACGGCTAAGTTAGTCTTTGTGCAATTGTGGGTGGATGAGATACTTTCTTACGCATGTTCGACGTAAGAAACAGTAACAATACAGTGACATTTTCTGGCCCCAATGCTGATCGGCCATAGAGCTCGCCTCATACAGCCGATAGCATCTTCACTTAGTCTGCTGACGTTTAATCGTTGGAGAATGGGCTATCGATTACTGCCACGAGCAGCCGAGCATCAACAACATGGGAACAGCACAGAAGGCGCGCAGCTAAAGCCAGGGAGGATGTAGAGCGGTCTACCCAACCGGACATACACACCGCACACCGCAACTCCCAGGTGCAGTCTGCGCACACTGTCCGTGTCTTGTCTGTCGGACGACCTGAATACGCGGCACAATCGACAAAGTGTCTCAAAATAAGGAGTGGTCACGGACCAGCAGAGCCTACTACAACTATTCTGGTTTATTTCGAGCTTGTTTGAGCTTGTAAAGCCTAGAAAAAAAAACTTTTTTTTTACCATTTTGGTTGGAACCTCCGAGCTTTTAAAAACTTAAATCCGCAGCAGTGCATACCCACTGAAATGTTAATAAATAACTGTGCCCATTTTAATGGGTCAACACAATTACATAAACAAACTTTTTAAAAACTCACCAAGAAAGAAAGTGTAATAAAACAATGTTTTTTTGTCCGCCTAAAATATTCAAATAAATGAAAAACGACAAACAGATTCTACTTGGCCAATTCACCTGCGAACAGAACCAAACACAGACACGACGAGCCTTCCAGAACACGAACGACACTACGACGCCAGCTCCTACCATGATTCTAAATCCCGAGACGGGGCACCGAGCAGGTTAGGCGGGAACATCAATATCAGCGAGAACGGAGCTAGGCAGGTATTGCCGTGATACAAAAGACCCGACTAGCCACACGCTATAGACTGCAAAGAGGCAAGTACCGTACCACCCTCAGACGGTCCCTCCTGCTCCTATACCTCGTCGTTAATGCGGCGACACCATGACACACGGTGGCCCCTGCAGGGCGGCTGGTCGCAACAGCTACCTTTGAGGAGCGCATTATTGCACGGGATAGCTCTCTCTCATGGCCCGCCAACTCTTCGATTTCGGTCCTACTGCCTCCCGTTCAGAAATTTCAATGGGATTGTGGAATGTATGTGTAGGTACGCGAATTCAATGATGAATTCAACTACCTTTGAAGCATATTCGTATGGGTGACGGTCCCGGCAAGCATCATGTACCGCATCAGGGGTGAGAAAAATTCAGGGCTGCAGAGTTGACAGTTTTTATCACTCCGATTCCAAATCCCATTCCAGGCATTCATTTAAAGCTTGCATCACGGTGAAAATAAAACAAGTCCATCAGTCTATGGTGCTCTTTGTCTTGCCTGACCAATCCTTCTGACCAATCCTGGAATGTTCTCCAGCCTCCAGGCTCCAATACTAAGACCAGGATGATATCAGTGAACTAAGGCCAGCCCAATTTCGAGATCTTTCAATATGAAGCCAATGGAAGAAAATTGAATTGCTCTCCTTTAGGAAGAAATTGGTGCTTAACACTCTTGAGTCAATAGTTATTGCGGGAAAGACTATTTTCGCAAAAAAAACGACAATTTTGCAGTGTCTCCTCTCCCCTCTGCAGACTAAACCGTTGAACTTATGTCGGATGTGAGGACAGTCTACAGAAAGAACGTTGTAAGGGCTATCAAATGCATTTTTCCTCGGCCCTGTAGCTCTACCCGTCCCCGAGTTATACGCCGGTTTGTTGAAAATTGTCGACATAAACCAGATTTGACTTTTGATGACCTTCGGTGACCTGACCTTTGACCTATCTAAAAAGGGCTAGTTATTTAGTCATGATCTTTGAAGCTCCAGCCCGAAGCCTCAGCGCCGCGCGGTGCCGATTACAAATTCAGTCGAAGCTCATATCACAGATCATTTGATACCGTAGGCCTCCTAGGCCATTGATGACTTTCCGAACTCACCAGCTCAATTTGATCGGCTCAATTTGATCGGAAGCTAAACAAAACACCCCATCCCAATGACATTGCACAACCTCAGTGACGTTTTGCATGACGTCACAAAAAGTACAAAACACAATAGTATTCATGAAATGAAATCAACAGATAACAAATCATGAATTTATGTTCTTGAAATAGGATTAGCTTATCTTCCACACCTAGCACAAGCCTGGAGCCAAGTATGCACTGTATGAGAATGGTGGAACAGCACAAAGGAATGTCAGAAATGATATCCTGTTCATAGACATCCATGAACATTCAGGATGCGAGCAATTTTTTGTGAAAAGATGGCCTTGAAGGAATGAATTTATTAACTACCTTCCCACCTAACATTGCATAACAACCAGCTGTTCATGAACAAGTAGGCAAACAACAAATAAATTATGCAATGATTTCAATTCATGACCTAGTTCCATGGAGCAGTTCTACGGCCTTGCTAATGTTGATGATGATGACCTTGGGGACCTTTGCATAATGCATTAGATCCCCCCAGGAATGCCTATTTGGTTGTAGAGATAAGGGGAAAATGAAGATAGATAATGCATGTGAGTGCAACCCTAATTCATTTTGCTCATGGATGTCAATTCATTGTCATTGTGTTTTCCTGTTCCTCAATAAACAGAAGTCAAGCTTGAGCTTCCTCTATTTAACAACTTATTCCTGATCCTCCTTATTGCAGTGAAGGTCCCATGATCATGATCATGGTTTGGTACATAGGTATCCAAGTGCAGTCCAAGTCACATATGTACGTAGGTAGTGAATCAGATTTAGTGGCTCTTCTCACAGGTGCATGGCTCTACATCCTCATCTTGCAGTTCAACAAAAGGTGTTATACAAAATCTTAGACCAGTTTCATTGCTTCATTGTTTGGCAAATTCACAGTAAATATAGATAATTGTATTGAGGGTAGGTGGGCAACTAATTACTGCGTTTCTGCAATATAATCAACGGATTGTCTGCGCCCGTTATCCTTACCTGCTGATTCCTTCACAAGCCACAGGAGTCGCACCTTCAGTTTAGATGGTACTCAGGAAAGCACTCTGCACACCCTCCAAGGGGTTGTCTTTGGCCAACCCAAGGCCTTGGCTGACACCGAATGAAGCCTGAGCTCGGCCAATTGAAAAGGCTTATTTCAAGCTGGAACCGAGAACTGAACTGAATCACTTCTAAGTGAGCGCAACATTCAACACAAGTCCAATTTAATTCACTATTCTTCCACTTTACAACTCCTCACCAACACAAATCCAACATCAACATGACACCATATCTCGCACGACTGCACACAAATCTCACGACCCCATCCGCGACGATATCCGCGCACTGTTTGGGCGTATCCGACGCCATCATTGTTTCACAAATGTCTCTTTAGCCATCAACTCTTTTCAGCTGATTGTCGTCAAGGTCGCGCGGTTTTGGCCGTATGATATATTATTTGTTTACAAAATTTAGCATAAAAGATAGAAAATATTTATTTTTTTTAAATATTCACAACCTAAAAAGAAAAAAAGAAAAGTAATTGAAGGGAAATTCCTAAACAAATAACCATTTTTCACTTATGTCCCTAAACGTTGTGATACCCTGAAATGATTTCACGACAGTGCTTATGACAAGCTGTGATTTGATATCATTTCCATGTAATTTTAACATTTACATGACATTTTGAAAAGCTTTTACAACTTTAAATGTGCAAAATTTACTTCAAATGTCATTACATTTATGATGAAAACACAATCAGCTGGTATTCAGCCTTGAAACTAGTCAGCTGTCATAATAGATCGAGCATTGGCTTGCTATTGAAAAGACTGGCGACGGCTCAAGCTCAAGCTGAAAGCGTAGATGCTGTGCAATGCCCGGAGAGTGTGAGCTTTGGGGTCGTTAGAGGTAATACAAATAGGTTCAGTGATTGCCAACGGCTAAAATCAATTTTGTGTTATTGATCGGTGCCTAATCCATATTATCCGTTATACCCTGCACAAGGTTTGTATAAAAAGGTGTTATTATATCCTTGCATACCAGTGGCGTGTCTGTGCTTTGTTTTCATTATTGTGATGTGACATTCATCAGTGTGAGTTTTCTTTGTTCAAAGAATGGCAGTGCAGACCATAAAGTGCATCGTGACCTTAAAATAATGATAGGATCTGGGTTTGTTAAGTTATCAGCACGGTCACGTCACCACAGTCCACAGGGTGCTAACATTTGTCATTCAGCATATAATGAAGTACCTAACTAGTGATAGTGATTTATCATGAAAGTTGGGGCATTGGCATAGTGGAAAAAGTAATCATCTGTTCATCCTGCTCTTACTGCAAGTGTTCTGAATGCATCCTGATTCTCTGCAACTTAACTTGGTTTGGTGTGGTGTCTGATTGATTGGTATTGAGGTCTACCTATCGCATGCAGATACCATACATTGCATCATTGCAGTTGCTTTTCACTTATGTTGTGCTTGTGAGTTAAGTCCATGATGTCTGACATTTATGGAGAAGACAGAGACTCCTATGATGCCTGAATCCTAATTCGAGATCTTAAAATGCCATTGTTTTTGGCAGAAATTCATAGAAACATTCTCTATATACTGCTTATAGAGGTGAGATATTCTTAGCAAGTGATATTAATTGCTCATGGGGTATCCATACTCATCTCCCTCAGGTATCTGATGAGGGCAAAGCAGAGTTGATCCCCATAGGAATCAGGCCTCAGGGTACATGTGGAGTAGGATCCATCCAGGGTGTAAATAAAGTTTGGATCCATCCAGCATATTTGTGCAGTGCAGATCCTTCTACAGTTATCAGTATATATGAAGTATGCATCCATCCAAGGTGTTTGTGAAGTGTGGATAACTCCAGAGTAGTTATGGATTATGAACCCATTAACAGCATTTGTGGATCCTCCCAGGGTATTTGTGTGGCGTGGATCCACCCAACTGGGTAGGTAGGTACATGTTAAGTATGGTTCCATCCAGGGTAGGTACTTATTTTAGAGTGAGGGTCAATCCAGGGTATTTGTTGAAGGTGGATCCTCCCAGGGTATCTGTGAAGTGTGGATCCATCCCAAGCATGCATTTTAAAGTGTGATGTGGATCAATTCATGCTATGTTTGGATACAGCCAGGGTGTGTGGATGGGGATACAACCAGGGTGTATGTAGAGTGGGGATGCCTCCTGGATATTTATGAAGTGTGGATCCCCCAGAGTCTAGCTAGGGTATATGTGGAGTGGGGATCTATCCAGGACCCACTCAGTATGAAGTACCCACTCACTGTCAGGCCCACTCTCTCACTTAACTCTCATTGTTGTCACTGTTGAAGGTTTAACTCTGTTCTTGCTGTTGAAAGCATAACTCTCCCTGTTCAGTTGTCACTGTTGAAGATGCAACTCTGGCTATTACTTCTGTATTCCATGCAGGTGACTACTGCACCTCTGCACTATCGAAGGTCTCTGGACCAGTAGTGACCCCAATGTATCCGGCACTAGGTATAGATTTGTAACCCCTCTCTACTGTCACTTTTGCAGGGGACAGTCGCTGGCCCGGCAGTGACCCCTATGTATCCGACACTGTATGGACGTCGGCATGCCAGAACAGTGAGTAACCCACCGCAGTAGGTACGACCGCGGACCGCCGCGGGACGACTGTGGGCACACGTCCTGTATGTATGTACCTATGCATGTATGTATTGCCATCACAAGCCTTCCACATACACAGCGTGGCGATTACGGCTTGTTCTGTACTGTACTGTACGGCTTGTCCTGCTGTCTTGTTGTCTAACGCTCTGGCCACAAGGCGGATTAGGTATGTTTGTAAACCCCAGTTCCACACCAAATACCAATGAGGACTTTGTTTGAGTGTGCCGTCAGATCGAATCATCCCAACGCCAGGACGCGGGTTGGAATGTCGCAGGTCGCTTGCCCCCCCCCCCCAACGCTCTCCTTGTCGAAATGATATATTTGCGGCCAGAAATGCGATGTCGTTTAATGTTTTGAACGGTTCCGGATCCCAGTATATTTTAACGGTTCCAGCTGGGAGTCGAATGTACCGGCTCCGCAATGCTGGTCGAGGTCCTAGTGTTGGGCAGTGGGAGATATCGGTCCGCCATCCGTGGCCGCTATGTGGCCCGAAGCCTTTCAGCGGCGTACAGCTGGCTTCCTCCCCTCGGTGACCAGACAATGCCATGGTTTTTGCCGAGAAACGACTTTCAATTGGGTTTCTCGGGGGTCGCTGTAGGTCTGTTCCGCCTACTCCCGCTCTCTGTCAGAGAAGGCGAAATCACCAGCGCTAGAAAACGCCAACCAGTATTTGAGGGCGCATGGAATTTAATCCTCAGCTGGATATTATTTTGGATATATTTTTTACCCCGCTATCAATCTTGCACACGGTATACGTCTCTTTATCGAATGTCGAATCCGATCGTCACCGATCGCATCAGTGTCTGCAGTCCATAGTACCTATGTCGCCGTCTTGTTTAGCACCACTTTGAATGTTGGCGGACCGCTCGGCTATGGCCGGTGGGACGCACGCGAGCCTTCCGAAGCCGGGCCGAGCAGTGTTTTTAGTCGCGTTGTTTGGCTTCACGGGTCCGCCTCTGGAGCCCTACGTTTCGTCTTCCGTTCTAGCGTCGTCTGCCTCAATCACAGCTGAGTCACGGTTCATCTGGTGCGGTTAGTTTTACCCGGGATGGTTTGCGACTGCTGTAGTTACCAGTTGTGCTAATGTCCGTTAATGTAGGCTATGATGTGTTCAGCGTATTTCGTCTGCTATATTTCACTAATATAGTTATTTCGTTTTCAGTTGAGTCCTGTGCACCCCAATACTGATAAACTCCAGTTCAGTGTGCCTGTGATCAGCTTAACCAATTGTCCCGTGTACCTTTGACTGATAACTTCAGCCGACGTGTAACTGCGACATTTTTATGTCGGTGCCCATGCCCCAGCACAGCTTCCTTTCCCACCTGTGTACCCCTAGTACTATTCTCTGACCGATATGTGTAGGCCGCCCGAGTCGGCACCTGTTCTGACGGTGCGCTGTTGCAGCGGTCCGGACACTGAGCCGCCCGAGGGCGTCCCGTCGGGTCCGGCGCAGGATCAGGTGGTCACCCCGCGGCCGCCGGCCGGCCACCGCTACGGCGAGCTCGTCATACTCGGGTGAGTCGTGGTTGGCAGCTAAAGGTCCCACTGGGCACTAGGTACAGTAAATAATATGTAGTTGTGGGTCATTGACAGTAAAGGCTGCAGTGTACGGTGCGAGTCATATGGATGCAGATAGTCGTGGGTCGTCTGCCGGGTAGTGGCTGCAAGTGCAGTGGGGTGCGAGATAGTCGGCATTATGGATAGTCACTGGCCGTCCGTCCATCCGTCCACGTTAGAGGCTGCAGTGTGGTGCGAGATAGTCGGCATTATGTTTAGTCACTGGCCGTCCGTCCATCCGTCCGCGTTAGAGGCTGCAGTGTGGTGTATACGAATTCGTCCGTCATTGGCCGTCCGCCCGCGGTAAAGGCTGCGCCGGCCGTCCTATCTGCGCGGGCACGGAGGCGGCGGCCGGAACTGCCGGCGGAACTTCCTGCCCGCCGGCTCAGCGGAGCACGGCTTTCCTCCCGGCCGTCTGTCCGTTTTTCCCTGGTCCCCGACCCCCGAGTGGCTGTGTTTAGCTGTGTGCACCGGAGACGCCTGAGAGCGGCTGTGAGAGGGCCTCAGAGCGGCTGTGAGTGACAGCGCGCCGGAAAACTCCCGGCACCGAGCTGCGTCCGAGCGGCCCGGACGTGTGTGCGTGCGTGTGCGCGTTTTACACTCATACTGCGAATGAGTTGCGAGTTATGCTAATGTTGCGTGTGTGCTGCGTGCTTGTGCACCTGTGTGCACGTGATTGTGACGTACGTGCGCGCGCTGCCGGCAGATACAATGGCATCGTGGCTCATGGCGACAAGGACCGTCGGCCGTCCAAGTTCCTGTTGCACAAGCGGGTGGCCGCCAATGGAGTCAAACCGGCCCGCTACTACGAGGTCAAGCAGCCACAGATGTCCCAGGTGAGCCGGCTGCTGGGACCACGGGGAGGCAGCAGCGAACACTGCCACACCGGCAGTCTAGGCCGATATAATGTCGACATAGACCCTCAGTGGGACCCTGCCACACCGGCAGTCCAGGCCGATATAATATCGACGTATACCAGCAGTGATACTCTGGCCGGTCGGCGTTCAGGGCCGATATAATACCGACACATGCGTGCAATTAGACTCTGGCCGCCCGGCGTTCAGGAGCCCAACGGGTACAGAGGATCGCTCGGTGAGCTGCTTGTGAGGCTGGTACTCAGTGCTGGCTAATCCGAGTTACGCAATAATCATCTAATATGTGTTTAAGTTATATTGGGGGACGCTTAAGTATTTTTTTGCGCCGGTCCACCACTGAATATTCACTGTTTTAGTTACAAATGAAATAAACTAAATCGAACTGAACTGAGTGCGGCCCAGTCACTTGGCGATGTTGCCGGTCCTGTTACTCGGTCCGTACTCCGTATCAGCCGTGGCGCCTGCGTCACAGACGGTGTGACGTCAGACGGGTCTCAGGTCTCCATTGGTGGGGCGGTAGGTGCCACTCTCAGCTGACGCGGCCCGTGCCACAATCAGCTGAGGCGGCCCGTGCCACAATCAGCCGTCGCGGTCCATGCGGCCTGTGCCGTCTCAGCTGATTGTCTGTCAGCTGACGCGGCCCGTGACCTGCCGAGCCGCTGTGCTAAGGGCCCCGGTAGACCGAGTCCAGGGTATATTGAATGAAGGCCGAGCCGTCCGCCAGCCACCCATCTGCGACTGCAGGGCCGGCGCCGCCCCTTCAGCCCTGTTACGGGCGGCCAACCGGAGCGGTCGACCCACCCGTCCGCGACCCTAACCCACGGCCAGGCCGATAGCGCGCCGTGACGTCACGACGATAGAGACGCGAGCCGCCGATACCGACGGACTACCGTCAGCGCGGAGAGGTGCCGCGTCAGCCCGAGAGCTGCTCGAGCTGCCCGGATCGAGACCCATTGTAACCGCTCACAACAGGTTACAGAGAGGTGTTATCGGAGTAGCCCAGTCTGAGCCTCGGGACGATACACTACTGGGTTCATTGTTTGCTGTTTATCATACACGCCATAAATGATAGGCTTGATATACGACTTAGTGCAAAGGTGTGGGCTAATCACAAACGCCTCGTCAACAAAACAATACGAAAACAGAATACTAACGGAAAACACTCAATAGGCCATGTGCGCCATACCGCCACTATGCCACATTTCCCTGGCCTCCAGCACAATCTAGAGTCCTGCAGGCTGATGACGCCATTGGTCTTGTAAGATAATGATGCAACTGTCCGCCGAAGTCCGTCACCCGTCACGGGTCCGGCGGCGTACCGTCACGGCCGGGGGCCACCCACCAGCTCTTGTCACGGGCTCTGTCGCGCTATGACGTCGGCCCGTCGTGCCGTCATGCGCTGGTATTGGGGTGACTGGCGGCGGTACGTGAGTGACTGGTCGGCGGGCGGCCGCAGAGCAGAGCAGGGCCCGCCTCAGGAGAACGGGCGCCCCTGGCTGTCCGGTCCTCGTGGCAGCGCCCGCGCCTCACCACAGCTGCCGACAGGGTGGGGTTGTGACTTATTACCCATGTCGGTACGTGGTGGACAGTGATCGGTGTTGTTGTTGTTGTTGTTGTTGTATTGCACGATTAACTGGCTTGTGGCCGGTGCATTGCTGTGTGACTACTGTCCAGTTTATTGATGGTTACGGACCGGCGTGTGACTGTAGCTGACGACCCGCGGCGGTCACGGCGCCGTGCGACTGTGCCAGTGGCGGCATGTCGCGGCGCCACGGCGACATTTGTGACTTTAGACGTGACTCAGACAGCGGCGGGTCCCGCACCTGCCGGTCGGTCACCGGTGTCCACGAACCGTGAATCAGCCGTGTCTGTCTGTGTCGTCGGTGAACTTTGTAACACCGTTCAGGTGTTTGTGGCAGTCCCTCCATTGACACAGTGTTGTGTGTGTGTCAGCCGTCAGGCCCTCTAATGGCACGATGTCCATGATTGTGTTAGGAAGGTATTGGTTCCTCCGATGATGATGTGCAGTTTGTGTCAGTTCCAATGACATCGTGTCAGTCCTTCGACGACGCAGTGTCGTTTGTTTCAGTCCTTCCGATAACATGACATCGTATGTTTCAGGCCCTACGATGACACTGTGACAGTACTAGTCTCTTCAGTCTCGCCCATGTGTGTATCTTGTGTGTGTGTTTCAGGCCCTACGATGACACTGTGACAGTACTAGTCTCTTCAGTCTCGCCCATGTGTGTATCTTGTGTGTGTTAGTTATCCGATCACACTGTGTCCGTATATACGTGTACCAGTCCCACTGTGCCATCGTTTCGTGTCACCCCTCTGACTACACCCTCTCCCCGTCCGGTTGCAGGCCGTGCGGGACCGGTGTCAGCACAGCGTCTCGTACACACTCTCCAGGCACAAGGCCATCATTGTCGAGTACGCGCCCGATCCGGACACCGACCTGTTTCAGGTGAGACAGCGCGGCCGTCACCGGTCCGAACGGGTACGGACTGGATACGGTGCGGACTGCGGATACTGACCGGATACCGAACGGATACTGAACGGAGACTGTTCGACGCCCGACTGGGAAAATCTTTCATACACTATCCGGATATTGCTCGATCCCAGATCGATATTGCCCAGACAATTCACGTTCTTTGACCCGGATGACAATGTCGTAATAGTGGATACTTCCTGTAACTTCCTAGCTATTTATCAGGGCGTGGATCGATTCTTGGCCGAATAATGTCTAGATATTTCACGGATACTGTCCGGATGTTTCACAGATACCGTTCGATCCGTGTTAGACTCCAACAAATGGGCCCAGGTCCGTAGCGTGTTAACCCGATCCCGGGGTGTGACCGAGCCGCCGAGCCGGAGCCTCTGAACACGAGTCGTCGGTCTCGTGTGTCGCTCCGACCGGCGGCTCAGCCGTGGGGTGATGACGGCTGCTCGCCGGTGCCGGGCGGGCGGCTCTGGTAGGGGGGCGGGTGCCGTCTCTGAGGGAGGGGAGGGGGGGGGGGGACTGACGGCCCGGCACGGGTGGCGGCGCCGGACAGGTGCCGCCGGCCCCGTGTACCGGGCGGCGCGGCACTGCCCGGTCAGCCGGTACCATCCTGTGTCCTGACCCGGTCACACGGTCCCCTCCGTCTCCGGCCGGCGCCGCCCGCCGCAGCACCGCTCGGGTGTCACATTGCACCGGCGGCACCCCAGTCAGTCGGCCGAGTCCATTTGTCCGTGACGGAATTGACTGAATCGCAGTAGCACAGGGGTCATTGAGTGTCACGCAGGCTCCGTTGTTTTCTGCAGCGAGCTAAATAGGAACGGATCCGCGTGGCTGCGTTTTTGTCCGCGTTTCGTTTTTGCAATGTTTGAGCGCTAGGGAACGTATTTGACCCCAATATGTCCATCAGTGGCAGTGGGCTATACCACTGGTGTTTAAGTACCAGACTAGCACTCTGCCTGTCGCTTATGACGGGTGACTGACCTGTATTACCCTCAGGTGTGTACGGCTGACTTATTTTGCCACCTCGTGTATCCCTGTCATCTCCAGTGAAATCCCAACAAGCCCGTGATGCGTATAACTCTGTGCGGTCTTCCCTCGACCATGGATACCCCATGCGATTTCCGCCTGGCCCGTGTCACCCTCGCCTATCCCTGGCGCGAGATGGCTCCATGTGACTTCCGCCTAACTCTCCGACTGAAGCTTGAGCTTTTCTTAAATTCATCTGATCCTGTGTGACTGCTGTCTATCTGACCGCTGGCCATCTGTTCGTCTTTATGACTGATATCCTCTGACCGTCCGTCTGACTGCCGTCTGTCTGACCGCCAGCCATCTGACCGCTGTACCCCTGACCGCTGTACCTCGAACCGCTGTCCGTCTGACCGTCTATCTGCCCATCTGACCACCCGCCTGTCCGCTGTCTCAGGTGGGCCGGTCGTCCGAGTCGCCGATCGACTTTGTCGTGCTGGACACCATCCCGGGCGTGAAGGCGGAGGACACGCGCGACAGCAAGGTGGTCCACAGCACCATCAGCAGGTTCGCCTGCCGGCTGCTCGTCAACCGAGCCACCATGCGCGCCAACGTGTACGCCGCCGGGTTCGACTCGTCGCGGAATATCTTCCTCGGGGTGAGTGGGCTGCGGGTCGGTTGAGCGACGTCAGGATTCAGGGGTTCAGTGGGAAGGTCTGCGTCTGCTGCGACTTAGATCAGCTAGACATTGATCGAGTTAGCCCAGTCAGCGCCTCGAATGTAGTCCCAATCGCAGCTTTGGACGGATTATATCATCATACGCTAGTCGCAACTCCACCCTGGCACCCGCATCGTTTTAACTCTGCCGTGTCCAGTCGCTCAACACTAGTGTCCTCAGCGTTCCGCAGCCTCACTCATCACGTCCTCCTTCTTCCAGGAGAAGGCGACCAAGTGGGAGACGGACGGCATCATCGACGGCCTCACCACCAACGGCATCCTACTGATGCATCCGCAGGGCGCGTTCTGCGGCGGCCGTGGCCGGCCCGGCGCCTGGATGGAGGTCTCGGTGGGCGGCGGCATGTATGGCCTACGCGCCACCCGCTCCGCCGCGCAAAAGGGGCTCAAGGTACGGTATACTGGAGAGGGATACCGCTCCGCCGCGCAGAAGGGGCTCAAGGTACGGTATGATGGAGAGGGGAGGGGGCACCGTTCCACTGTACAGAAGGGGCTCAAGGTATGGTACAATGGGGGAGGGGAGGGTTCGCACTTCGCTCCGCCGCACAGAAGGGGCTCAAGGTACGATTTGATGGGGGAGGGGACGGGGCACGCCTCAAGGTGCGGCACACTGGGCGCTAGGCTGTGGGCCCAGCTCCGGCGCATGACGGCCGACGGCAGCACGGTCACGCTGCAATGGGTCCCGGCCCACTGTGGGCTCGCCGGTAATGAAAGAGCGGACGCCCTGGCCAAGGAGGCGGCCGCTCTTCCTCAGCAGTCAACGCCGGTGGATGTCCGTACTCTTACGCGGGCTGTCGCGCGGCACTCCAAGAGGAAGTGGCAGGCGGACTGGCCGGTCGGTTGGTACCGCACCGTCATGGGGGACCGCGCCCCCGCCCCGGTCCGGACCGCCACCAGGGAGGAGGCCGTCGACATCCACCAGCTCCGGTCTGGCCACTGGGCCCGATCGGAGCAGTACCTCCACCGGATTGGTCGAAGACCTACACCTGAGTGCGCTCAATGCGACGACAAGGAATGCCCTGCGGGCCGCTGCCTAGTCTGCTCTGAAGCAGCGGACACCCCGGCGCACGTGTTGCTGGAATGCCCGTGCCTGTACGGCCCCCGGCTCCGTGCGCTGGGCAACATCATCGGCGCGGCCCACGATGTCCGGCGCGACGACGTGGTGGCGGCCTTGGCCGCCGGATACATGGCCCACAAGAGCCGGTCGGCTACGCTACCGCTCCGGCGGTAGCCGGGGGGTCAAACAACAACAACAACAACAACAGGTGCGGCACACTGGGTGGAGGAGATGAAAGGAGTCTTCTAGCAGGGACTCTGGGTCCCACACAACGGTAGGGGAGGGAGGGGTACCGCGATCCGCCCTCTCCCGCCCCTAGAAATAAATATGCTGCAGAAGTGCTGGGGAGGCTCGTCTTATGTTTACGTTTATACAATCTGCTCAGGTTACATTTAATAGTCACACACACACACAGCTCAGGATACACTCATCGGTCATATACCTAGCGTTGGGTTAGGACAAGACATCTATGAGTCTCTGCGAAGTGTGTGCAATGTCTTATCTTCTGACTGCGGGCTGTGTGTATCGGGACAGATGGAGGACCAGACGAGCGAGCTGCAGGACGGCACGCTGGTGGACCTGTGCGGCGCCACGCTGCTGTGGCGCTCGGCAGAGGGTCTCAGCCGGTCACCGACCAAACACGACCTGGAGCGGATGGTGGACCAGCTCAACGCCGGCCGACCCCAGTGTCCGGTCAGTGAAGGGGGACGGTGGGCGGTTCCCTCTGAGCGCTCTATGACTGCAATCTGCGCTCCCTCTCACCGCTGTCTGTGCCCCCCCCCCCCCTTCCATGTCCGCTCTCTGGCCGCTGTCTGTGACAGAGCCGCTCCCTCTGACCGCTGTCTGTGATTGCTCCGCCGTCCGCCAGGTGGGTCTGAACACGCTGGTGATCCCACGCAAGTCGGCGGCGCCCGCCACGGGTGACGGTGATCCGTGGGTGTACCTCAACTGCGGCCACGTGCAGGGCCGCCACCAGTGGGGCCACGAGCACGGCACCGACTCCCTCACCTGCCCAATGTGCTTCAAGGTGAGCGAGCGAGGAACGCGGTACGGACGGTATAACACTTGATCCGCACTAGCTAGGGCGCGGCACGGCATGGCGAACCACGCTACGCATCGACTTAGTCTGCGCCAGGGAGTACTTTTTATTTTTCTCTGAAGGAAGTTTCTTATGTCGTAAGATGGAATAATATATTGTGACTGTTAGGTACCGTAAAGCTGTATATGTTTCTGCGTATCTCTTTGTCTGTTATACGCCTGTCTGCTGCGTATCAGTCTCTGGGTTTGTGTCCATCTAACCCTTGCCCTGTCTTGTCTTGTCTGTGACTGCTCGACGCTCGCCTAACCGCTACCCTGTATTTCCCCACAGACGGGCTCCGTGGTGCGCCTCTGTATGGGCATGGAGCCGTGCTTCCATGTGGACTGCGAGCGGCCGACCCACGCGTTCAGTCCGTGCGGCCACATGGCCTCGGAGGCCACCGTGCGCTACTGGTCGGCCGTCATGATCCCGCACGGCACCAACGGCTTTCACTCCATGTGCCCGTTTTGCGCCACGCCGCTGAGCGCCGCCACGCCGCACGTGCGCCTCATCTTCCAGGACAACCTGGACTGAGCGGCGGACGGCGGCGGCCACCCACAGCACGACTTCTTGCCAGCGCCAGCCGACCGAGAGGGGTGAGCGCGGCGAGCACCACATGTGCCTGCGGCCGGCGCGCTGTGAGCGGGCCGCCGCGGCAGCACGGCCGGCGCGCGCGCGCCGCAGACTATTTTTAGATGACCATTGGCGTGGTGCGACCGCCCCGCGCGACTGGGGCGGTGTGTGATGAGCGCCCCGCTCCGGCCGGATCGGCCGAGAGCGGCGTGTGCGGCGCCCAGCGCCCTGCAGTTCGTGGCCAGTGGCCGGCGGCCGGAGAGAGACCGGTGAGGCGCCGGCCGGCCGGCCCAGCCACCCAGAGGCTGCGGCCTCCCCAGACGGCCCACCCACCGCGTGACGGCGGTGCGCGGCACCAGTGAGCACCTCAGACTGTGTGTGTGGGTGTGTGCTGTTCATACGCTCCTAAGCTCGTGTGTATGTGTGTGTATTCGTGTGTGTGTGGCGGTGTGAGTCGCGCCCGGCTGGCGGGGCCTCAGCCGGCCGCTCGGAGCCGTCACCAGACTGCGGGGCGGACCGGGGACGGTGGCCGGGCCGCGCGACTCCCAGACAATGAGCCGCGCTAAACGAGCGGCATTTATCTGTACATGCTGATGCGAATAAACTGAAAACTGACTCAGCTCGGTTCATGAATGAGTGATTTCTGGATGCAGGGATGATAAGCTTAGTTTTTTGGTCAACATTTTGAAAATTACTACGATGCTGCTTTGAACTTTTTAGGGATATAGATATCGCCTTCCGAGCCGTGCATTGCATGTATTGTTGATTGTACGAGCCCGGGTTCGAGTCGCTCTGGCGTTCGGTATTATGAGCATCCTGACGGGATGGGCTGCGGTTGGTGGGAGCAGCCGCAGCTCAGCCAGCTGAAGCTAGTTGAGTGGGACAGGCCGCGTCCGGCTTTGAAGGGCACGTTAAACTTATGCCGCTACATTATCCCGTTACCTGGAATTTCGCGCTGGAACGGCGAGGGACGGGGCCTAGGCAACAAGGTTGGCTTAGGGTGGGCTCCGGGCTCCGGGCCGGAGCCTGGAACCCACCCTAAGAATGGACGGATTGACATAGCCGGAGCTCCGGCTATGTCAATCCGTCCATTCAAACATCGAGCTAAATTTGTACAATAAGTAAAATACTACTGCGTGAGTACAATATGCAAATATTTGTTTGCTAGCTTTCTTGCAAAAAAATGAAAGATCCTAAGCAAATTTGTATTTTATATTAGAATACTTTCCATATTTCCATATTTTGGAATACGTTCCTTATTCAGTTCGATAATACACGATTTACGGCACAACATTTATAGCCTTGAATCGTTCATGTTTGAGCTTATGATGGAAGGTTTTCCGAAATGCTTTAGATTTTAATGTTTTTTTTTCGATTACGCAAGGAAGTGAGGAAAGTTGCAAACCTATATTTTAACCACGATTCTCATTGTTTTTTGTGTTTTTTTTTTTGTTGCCTGTCCAGCCCGGAGTGGGGGTTGCGGCGTGAAGGAAAAGATTTCAGTAGCCTGAGGACGGAACGGAGGGATTCTCGTTTTTATTCTCTAGGTTGTTATAATAGGGCCTATAATTGCTTTCCGTTTCTGGAACAAATGCTGTTCTCTTGCACCAGCCTTGGGTGAAAAATTCGGCAGCAGGAAAAGCTAGGGAAGAATGAGACATGTTTGCTGAGACACTATCACTAACTGCAACGGGTCCGCTAAGGGGCAAGGTGTGGTGGTTGCGGCGCAGCGTGCTTTTAGGCGTTCGGTGACTAGTGCCATCTAGCGGCAGGATCATCGGTGTGTTGCGGCGCAGCCTACCACCAGGCGCGCGGAGTTAGTGCCATCTAGCGGCAGGATTGTCGGTACATTGCGGCGCAGCCTACCACCAGGCGCTCAGAGTTAGTGCCATCTAGCGGCAGGATCATCGGTGTGTTGCGGCGCAGCCTACCACCAGGCGCTCGGAGCCAGTGCCCTCTAGCGGCAGGATTGTCGGTGCATTGCGGCGCAGCCTACCACCAGGCGCTCGGAGCTGGTGTCATCTAGCGGCAGGATTGTCGGTGCATTGCGGCGCAACCTACCACCAGGCGCTTGGAGATGGTGTCATTCAACGGACAAGTTAGAAGATTGTCTTTATCGTGACATGCGACCAAAATGTTTACCAAGTGAGCATTCCCGGACCAGAAAGATGGGGCCTATGCAATATGAAATTTCATCAAAATGATGATACTGTCACTTTGATTACATCATATGGCTACACCCGCACGTCCCGCAGTCGCTTCATAAAACAGTTTTGGCGTAAAATGCAACCAAGTGTGGAAAACGGTGTCAGTGTCAATCTAAGCCCTTTTGTGTAATCGGCCGCAAGAATGTGCAGAAACCTGCGTCGGTCGCATTTTCCAAAGACGTCGGCTTCTGTACGCCACTTCTCTTGTTCCACTGACCCGTTGCCATGATCACTACACCCAGTTATCGTCTGGATCACGGCTACTACGCCCCGTTATCGTCTGCTTAATGGTCACTACGCCCCGTTATCGTCTGATTAATGGCCACTGCGCCCAGTTACTTCCTGAATAGCGTCACCATGCACCCCATTAACGTCTGAATAACGGCCACCACACTGCATTACCGTCTGAATAACGGCCGATACACCTAGTTACCCTCTGAATAATGGTCGCTACGCCCCAGTATCGTCCCAATAACGGGTTCCAGTAACGTTCAGTACATCCATTTTCTCTTTAAATAACGGACACCACCCGATATGATGGCCGGTCACTCCGCCCATCATAGCCAACAGCTGGTGAACAGTTGCTCATGTAAATCATCGCTGTGATCGGTAATGAGCTTTGGGCCAGTGTATAACTTTATTTCAATAAGAATCAACAACATATGGGAAACAACAAACATAATTCACACCCAAGTCAAACCATAAAACCCACACATGTGAGCGCAAAAGCACCCATTCAAAGGCAAAGATCATTGGCCTGAGTTGAAGTTACAGAATAATAAATGTATGCATTTAGAGTGAACTGGAACACCGTAGTATAAAATCAGAAATAGAGTTCCTTCTAAAATGGCAACATGCTAATGAATTATGCGCGTTAAATGAGTATGTATGAAGCACAACCTTGGTTGAAGAATAAACCTTGGTTAACCTTGGTTAAACGTGTACAGCCACAATCCGCATGCAGGAGCATCGCTACCAGTACTCTGATTTGTACTATAAGTTATGGCACCACTTGTCAAAGTTAGTCCGTGCCGCGTCAGAGACAAACCTCTGCTGGTACAGCGCGACGAACAGGTTACAAAGCGCAGAAACTCTTCATAAAGATGGTCCGGGGCTGAGATGCTGCGACCCGCTAACACAGCCACACAGAGTCCCTCGTCTCTCTAACACAGCCGCCCTCAGTCCCTCGTCTCTCTAACCAGCTGCCCTCAGTCCCTCAGCTCTCCAACACAGCCACCCTCAGTCTCTCAGCTCTCCAGCACAGCCGCCCTCAGTCCCTCAGCTCTCCAACACAGCCGCCCTCAGACGTCCAGCTTCCAGTTGAACCAGGCGTACACGGTGTTGACGTGGCAGTACACGTCGAAGTAGTTGGCCTCTGGGAAGGCGCGTGTGCAGCCCAGACAGACGCGCTCCCGCAGCTGGCGCAGCGTCTCCTGGGACGGTGTCGGCTGCCGGTAGCGCCGGCGGCCGGCGCGCGGCGGCAGCGGCTGGTCGCCGCGACACTGTGCCATCAGCTGGTCAAAGTCCTGGTACCAGGCGGCGGTCGGCGAGAGCAGCTCGGCCGGCTGGGCGGTGGCGATCAGCCGGCGGGCGGCGGCAGCGCGCTGCTCCTCCCGGCTGGGTACGCGCCACTGGAGCCCGCCGTCGGCTGCCGGGGCGGCGCAGCGGCCGTCCCCCGCCCAGCTCCCGCCGCCGCCGGCCGCCGGCAGCCGCTGCGGCCGGTTCGCGCCCCGGATGGCGCGCGGCGCCCTCTGGACAGGGGCAGCCGGCCCGGCCGACCGCAGACAGGTGAAGTCGGCAGCGGCCGCGTGCGAGCCGTCAGAGCGGCCGGCGCTCCGAGGGACCGGCACACCCACAAAACCCGCGTAACCGATGGAGCGGGGCGGCTGCTCGGGGGCCGCGCGGAGCGTCCTGTCGACTCGGCGCTCCGAGCTGCCGGCGCCGGACGCCGCTGAGCGGCTGGCCGGAGACCTCCCACCAGAGACCGCGGGCTCACCGCGGGCCGGCTCCTCGGACTCGGCGGAGCAGATCAGCGTCTCCAGGGAGCGGCAGAGAGAGTCGTAGCGCTGCTGGGCGGTGTCGGCGGCCGGCTGCCGCGTCCGCTCACAGTCGGACTCAGATGACTGACTGGACTGTGGAGAAGACGCAGTCGGAGAGCCCACGGACACAGAGTCGCCGTCCGAGCGGTACGCCACACTCTGATCAGAGTGCTGGCGCGGCGAGTCGGACAGAGAGCTCACCTGGTCAGCGTCGTCCGAGACAGAGCCTTCCCCGGTCAGCGGAGACGTCTCTGTGTTCCCCACCTCCTCTGCGGCCTCCCGGCGGCCGCTCGGCGAGCGGGGACAGGTCTCCGCGACATCGCTGGCCGTCCGCACGTCCGGACGGTGGCCGGGATCCAGGCGGCACGTCTGTCCGGGATCCGGGCGGAACGTCTGTCCGGGATCCGGAGTCTGCTCGTCGCCGCTGGAGCTCTCTGACGATTCGCTGGTGCTGGGTGTACGAGCTCCACCTGACCACAGTGATCAGCGTCAGGCGGTGGCCGTCATGGCTGCTCAGAGTGACACAGCGGTCCCAGTCAGTCACACAACAGTCTCAGTCGTTCGTCACCGTCGGTCAGTGGTCACTGGTCATACGGCCGGTACACAGCTCAGTCCCCGTCTCTGGATATGGCGCCACTACTCCACAGTCACCTACAGGCCTGGTGTAATACGATTTGCCTCGTATGAACGATTTATTCGAGTTGAAATAGCCGTACATACCGTAGGTCGGTTATGGTGAGAACAGCGAAGCGGCATACCTGCCGAACTTACCGAATATCTCCGCGGTGGGACGCTCCTGGGCGCCACTGTGCAGTCCCGTGATTGGTATCGCTTGTAAAAGCAGCATGTTAATTATCTTCGATAACGCCTTCGTAAAATGTCCAACCAGCTTAGGTAGCCGCGCTAAAACGCAGATAACTGTGCGAAGTGGAAGCGATCCTCTCCTTTCATCTGCAACAATGGGAATGCTGGTTAGGAAACGCAAATACAGATCAAATCAAATCATTAATTCGCTATTCGAAACGGGCGGCTCGTGAGACGGGTCGTTTGTCGGGGGGGGGGGGCGCCACTTTTGCGGTAATAGCCGCACACCGAGGAGCGAGCTGCTGCTGCGCGGGCAGTCGACCCGCGCCGACTTGGTTGGTGGCCAGAAAGAGGGGCGTTCAGGCTGGCCAATGCCACATATATATGGGCGAAACATTATGCAATACAGGTACCATCTTCAGCCCTTTTTCTGGATGTGTCAAACAACAAACTTGTCAGACGTAAAGCATTGTTTCACTGGAAAACAGGTAACTGTAACGAACCTCACAAACCTTACGGTACGGTGTCACGGTTTTTGCCGCCCTAGACCACCACAGACCACCCTAGCCCGCCCCACAACAGACCTCCCCAGACCGTCCCAGCCCGCCCCACAACAGACCTCCCCAGACCGTCCCAGCCCACCCCACAACAGACCTCCCCAGACCGTCCCAGCCCGCCCCACAACAGACCTCCCCAGACCGTCCCAGCCCGCCCCACAACAGACCACCCCAGACCGTCCCAGCCCGCCCCACAACAGACCTCCCCAGACCGTCCCAGCCCGCCCAGACTACATCATACAGACGACAACAGATGTTATTATAGACAACAAACATGCAACAAACAGACAACAGACAAAACAAAAAACAAACAGACAGCATTATTGACAACAGTATAGGCGACAAACCGACGACAACATTATAGACAACAAAAAGTCAACAGAGACAAAAAACACAGGCGACAACAATCAGACGAAAACAAGCAGACAACAAACGGACATTGCTGTCGGCATCACAGACAATAAGCTACCACAGGCCATGGTAAAAAGTACCACCTCGAGCTGACACAGTTGCGACTCACTGGCGTCGGAGGAAGATCTGACAGTGTCACAGAGTAAGTAGTCTGTAGACCGTTCTGAAGGACCACCCCGGAGTCGCCAATCTCCAGGGTCGAGCGAAGCCCGTCCCGAGTCTCCAGGACTGCGTCTACCAGACGCCACCCCACCCTTCCCTCCCCTCCCCATCCCTCGCTGGTCGTATCTTCGCGGCCGATTGCGATAAGCGGTGGCGAGGACGGCAAGAGTTCATAGTCCTAACAGTCGGTGGGCGCCCTAGGCGTGTGGCTAGGACAGCAGAGGTTCAGAGTCCTTTCAGGCCGTCACTCAGGGTGAGGGGCACGTGAAGATAAGGCCCGGCTGCCTGACAGCGGTGAACACCACGATAAGCTTGGCATCAAGCGGCAGCTTGCACGAAGTTATCTGCGCACAGGGCGTCCCAGATAAACCATAAAGAACAGTTGCAAAGACTGAAACGCACTTGGCTTGGTATCGCTTTTCCAATTAGCTGTAATCGAATTATCAATCATGCTCCTATTTGTCGCGCCACGCGTGTTACGGCTAACAGATATCGAGGTTCGGGTCAAAATCGATTGTTAGGCTCGATTTATTATTTGGTCACCCAATTCAATGAATACCTACTTGAGTTTACTTGAAGTCACTCAAGTAAATAGTAATATGCTTAAAAAATGATGTAAGACTCAGCGTGCTGGTACGAGCATGATGTGCCGGTAATCGTAAATGATTCATTATTAAGATCCCTTGAATGATCCATTAGGTACTATGGTATACCTACCAGTGGAGCATCTCTTTAAAATGCCGTTAAAGCAGGTTTCTGATGTATGATGTATTCAATATTGATTTCGTTAAGGACACGTTTGAAGTGAAAATGGAAGCTTGGAGAGGACAGACGAGCGAGTATGTATCGCTATCGTTATGTGACGATAAGGCATCGATGACTGGCATGAAAGACGGTGGTACTTGGGTATCTGGTGTTTTGACTCATACTGACTAGAAGTACAAGTTAATTTCTCAGTTATAGGAGATACCCGTGAGGTACCTATGGGCCATCGCAGTTTTGAAGAAAAGTTACGTATTTTTACATATTTAACCGTGTAAATTGCTAGCAGCCATTTCGTTATACATTATACGACCCACGTGATTTCCAAAATCTTCCTCCGTCTTCTTTGGCAATGAACGGTGATAAAGCTTTTTTGCCGTCTTCGAGCAAAGTACGGTATATACAGAAAATTCGTGCTAAGTTTGAACCAGACTCGTTTTATTATGTCAGACCATCGCTAACATAAAGTTAAAAGCAGGCAAATTAAGACTGGTTAGACAATTTGAAGCTTTCTTGCAAGATTATGCGCTGAGATGCTACGCGTATTCTGGCCTCCTAACCGGGAGGTTCTGGCCAGTGGCCACCCACCCCCGGTGATCCTAAATCAATAAACTGATGCTTTCATTTATTTCCCTCTGTCCTCAATAAGTTATTTTTGTCGCGGAGGGACGAAAATTTAACTACAAATTGCAATCGAATTGAAAAATATTATTTGTATTATTTCATGAAACATAGTTAGGGTTTACCAAAATACATATGTGTCCAGGAGGCCTCCATAAAGTGAGCTGTTGGCCGCTTATGCGGTACCTGGGCTCTGAGAGAGATCAAGTTAGATACCAGCTACGAGTATTGTGCTCAATGTCTAGAAAAGAATATGAAACATGGCACCGGCCCATACCTCCCGGGCCATGGCTTAGGGGAAGGAGGGTGAATTGCGCCACCTTAACCCGGCAGTTGCTGGGGTATTTCGCCACCCACCGTTTGCTGGGGGGGGGGGGGGCGTTAAACGCCCCCAGCCGATAACTCGAGAACCAATAGGCGCAGCGAAACGCACGAGGCGGCAAACGAAAGAGCGCGACGAGACGATTCAGATGAGTACTTAAAAATTGAATTTTGAGGTCACAGGTCGGGTCAAGGTCAGGTCAAACACCTGAAATCGGGCTTTCAGTAGCATGGACTTCAGGACTTCGCAATGGGCGCCTCTCGTCATAAACTCTGTCAAAATGGTGCACAATTCATCATATAAGGCCTACAAGAGTGTCAGCTCCATGTAGGGGACAGTCAAGCATACAGGGTGTCCCATAAGTTCCTTCTCACCTAAATTTTTCTTTTAGAGGCTCTCTTATTTAAAGCCACGCTTAATCTATTTTGTAACTGAGCTTTTGGGGTTGCCATGGCAACTGTGAATGTGCTCCGCGGTAACTAATTCGTCTAGACAAAATATTTTTTGCCAGAGAGTTCACTTCCTGTGGAGACGGCTTACGCCGCAACATAGAGGTCTCCGATACGGGTACGTCTCGGTATTTAGTCCGCACTGGGCCATTCACAACGGCTGAGGGTGATTGAGACCATCCAGTATGTAGCCAATGTCTGTCGCTAACTGGACGCACAGTCAACAAGTGACGTCGATGATTTGTCGGGAGTCAATCGCTGCAAGTTTATGCTCTTTTTTTGTCAGCTTTCACGAGTGAGCCATGTGGCCAAAACTGTGTGGCGCTAAAATGGCCGTCAAAAGGGTCTTAGCGTTAGAAAGTTGGTAAACATGCTTTTCAGGATGCATTACCAGCTGTCTAAGAGTATCATTTCAGGGTACCTAACTCAAGGTGACTTAAGCTCTACTTACCGGAGGGCTCAAAACAGTCAAAAACGTCTTAAAATGGCCAAACATGTGTTTCGTTATGCCTGAGGCTAACAAAACTGGAGGGCCGATGACATCAATGTGGTCATCTGGACTACCTAGTCCGTGCTCGAGATAAAACACCCGTCCAAACCCCAAAACGGTCCCATATGGGCGACGGAAAAGGCCTTTGTGTCATCCCGCTTTATTCCTATACAAAAGGCCATGGTCACGGTAATGTGGGGTAATATGCGTCCAGACACTGATCACGTTGCGATTGATACTCCAGAAACAGTCTTGGGACGCAGAATGCTTCTCCAAGAAGATCTAGGAGTTTCAGCTTTCTAGCTTAACTCGAACCGCAAGTATGACCACATTTTTTTAGGAGAAAATGGCATCCGGGAGGTCGTAGGCCCATCTTCAAGCAAGACAGTGCATCAGTGCACAGGTCAAGCAAAGCTTAGAAGCAGTGCCAGGAGACTATGATAGGCGTCTGTGGCAAGTTCACATCCCAGGCAACTCATCGGATCCAAATTTCATAAAAATGTGTTGGGAATATTGAAATCGAGGCTCGTCGAAACGAAGCGGTGTTCCAGCATTGAGGAGCTCACGGCTCATACCAAGTCAGTCTGGGCTAACTTCAAGCTTGCTATGCTGCCAAACATGCCGGTTGGCATGTCGCAGCATGTATTCATGTGTTTGCCTATGAAATGGGGAGCACATTGAGGGATTATAAACATATCAAAACGCAATGTACTCTGCTTTACATGCAAATATAAGGTGAGAACGAACTTATGGGACACCCTGTAGGTCAGGGTCAAGGTCAGGTCAACCGGGTAGGCACATATCCCCGAAAATCAAAACTGATATTCGCAGCCTGTGACACATGTTTTATAGGTAATTTAGGGCGTAGAACACGATGGTGACATTCATTTTATCATATGTGTACGTGTTTGGCTCAAAAAGTTCAATTTAAGAAATGCATGTATCATGGTCTTGTAGTCACGAAAAATTGCCAAGATTCAGTTCAAGATTATGGAAAATGCGGAACGATAATCAATAATCGAAGATAGCCATTTGATTGATCTTGGTATTGGCAGTCTAATGGCGTTTACGGCATGTCTGTATATCTATTCTGTGATTTTATATGATTTTTTGAACATATGCCGTTTTTGGTCGAAAACTCAGAAATCATGACGTCACTAAAACCTCGATATCTCAAAAAGTTTTCGACCGATTTTTTTGAAACTTTGTCACAATAAACTTCAATCAATTCTCTACAGGTGGCGCGCAGTTTTTATGCTATGGCCCGGCGAAAAAAGTGGGGGCGTTTAACGCCCCCCCCAGCAACTCGAGGGTTAAGGAAAAACGCTAATTGTAAGAAAATCGCTGGAGATACCAGCATGCACTGGTAACCAACCATTTCAAAGAGGAACTCATTGGCTACGATTTAAGAGCCTCCCGATCAATTAAGAATGTTTCGTTTGCTTCTGACAGCTGTTTTTTTCAGAAACGTGCAAAAGGGCGCATTTGCCAACAACTGCTGTAAATTGCGCCAGGGGGATGGCGCAATTAGAACCCAATTGCGCCCTATACTTTAACATGGCTAAGTGAATGAGACGGAATGCATACACCCCGGCAGTCTAATGTCATTGCGGCTTACTTAAACATTTATAATGTTATTCAGGCTGGATAAATAATAAATGTAGATATAAATCGCGATGTGTTTTGCCCAGGTAGATAACTTTACATGTGTCCGTACGCTTGTAAAAGTGCAACGAAAACGTTTACTGTAACCGAATAGATATATGTGAACGTCTGTGCCTATGTATACAGTTAAAGTTTCAATCGTTTCTCTCAAAATTAATAATTTTTATCGTTTTGACAACTTAATGACATCAGTTTTTACTTTCTTATCATAGCTGTCACTTCTCACGCCGTATTTTGTCAATTACACCACAAGTCGTAGCCTAAATGGCAGCTGCATTATAAGTTTGACGAGAGAAATAATTTACGGACTGACGACAGCGGGCTGCTCCCTTGCCTGACATTAAACTCCTTATTTATTGCAATCAGTTAATGATGCATTCATACTGTCGTGATATATGTGATATAATGGCTACACCATTATTTTATTTGCGCCCCCTGGCGCAATTGCCATGGGCGCAATTAAAATTTAGGTACTTTTTAATAAAAGCGTAGAAGTTATCATAAAGATGTTGAAGGAAGTTTACTGTTTCAGTGAAATACAATGAAAAAAGTTTTTCCTTCTAAATATCACTCTGAAAATCACACAAATATCGCAAATTTTTATAGCCAACGGTTCAAACTGCAAAAAAGCTAAGAAAACGCCATAACATCTTTGATGGCGTAATGAGCTTTGCAGATTGGCTTCATCGGAGATTTTGGGCCATAAAATGAACTATCCAGTAGTGAAAATAATGTTTTCGAACACTAAATTCTAAACATGCCATTGAATCCGTGGGAATGTTGGTGGGCGCAATTGGTTAGGAGGGCGCAATACACCCACTTTCCCCTATACCTCCCGGTGTGCTATATTTTGACGGATCGAAAAAGCGCATGATTTATTAAAAGTTATCGAGACAAAATAGTTGATCCCAGATGCCTAATATCAGGCACACTTTGCAGGCAAAGAGAAATTTCACGCACACAGAGTGAAAACCAGGTCTAGCCACTGCCCACTGGAAGAAAATAGTCTTTTCACAAAACCGGCCCGCACCTCCCGGGTCTATGCATTGACAGTTTTAACAAATTAATTTTGTCGGAATGCAAGTGCGATGTGTAATGTTTGTTTTTACTTTATGTAGGTAACGACCAGAATACCACATAATGAGTGTCATTATCAAATGTTAATTTTTATATAAATCTAGGTACGGTTTTATCGGTTCTTATCGAACAGACCAACTAAAGACCAAATATTAAAAACGCGTTTTGGTCTGATACCCCTTTTTCCGGGCGGGGGGTGATGATGATGAATTGGGGTTTTTAGGCGCCCGGACTACAGCGGTCATCGGCGCCCACCGGGCGGGGGGGGGGGGGTGAAAAGGCCAAAGCAGTTTTTTGACAATAAATTTTGAGAGACATACCCGAGCGATGAAAACACCTCAGATGTGTTCATCTCGACAACACGGATCGACTGATATTGTCAGGTCATGACCTTGACCTGAGGCGAACTTTCCAAAATGACATCTCAAGGTTTGTCGACTTGAAATGTCATTTTCAACCTTGAAATATCTATCGTCGGTTCGGCAGTTCAAGGTTATAGTTCATTCGTCGCGTCTCCAGAGGAACACGATGCTGGCAAAATCCATGTCGTCACTTTCTTGAGTCAAACGTAAGTACAGAAAAATGTTTTTTTTTTATCTTTTATAAATGTCAATTTTTGGATTTCTTTTTGTCGTCTGGAGGCTAAACCGTTGATCCAAGTTCAAATCTGAGGACACAACACAAAAAGAGTGCTAAAAGGGTTATCGAATGCGTTTTTCTGCATCGCTGTAGCTGTCTTGGTTCCCGAGATACACGCCGGTATTTAAAAAAAGTTAAATAGGCAGCATTTTAACTTGGATGAGCCCTGGTGACCTGACCTTTGACCTGACCTAAAGATGACTGAATATTTTCGCCTGCTTTTCGACGTTCTTTCAAATGCCGCTTACCGCTACGTGGCCCAGGAGCCGAGTTAGACGGGGGGGGGAGGTTCAGACACCCCCCCGACCCGGCACGATTGGCACCGAACGCCGGCCCGGCGCGAGTTAAAAAACAAATGAAACAATACCTATTCGATCTAGTGCTTCGTAAGAAACACTAGGAGTTCATTTCCAATTATCGGCAGGTTTTGAAAGATCCGCTTAAAAACAATACCTATAGGCTCACTTTTCCCCAGCGTCCTTTGGTCAAACGTCCAATGCAAAATGAGTGAAAATTATGTGACGAACTATAACGAAAATAGTATTAGAGACTTGCCTGAGTGGGCGCCCTGGACCGCTTTGCTCCGGCGCCCGCTGCCACACGCCACTGAGCTGACCCGGGCCGGCCGCCAGCTCGGTCACAGCAGCACGCGCCCCAGGCCAGGTCAGTCACGGCGCCACCGGCCAATCACAGAGGAGCGCCGACCGAGCGCAGCCAATCAGCGGCCGGGAAAACTCGGCAACAACACAATCACATGATCCCGGGAATCGCGTGGCGTTCTGCTCTACGCGCCCTAATCCACGAAGAAGAAGAAGAAGAAGAAGTGGCGTTCTGCTGTTTGCAGATCGCAGTGGAAATATTCATTTATTGCCTATCTAACTAAAAAAGCTACCAAACGGCTGCCCATTAGGAGAGAACCGTCCAATACGCCTCACCCCTTAAGGAAAAATGGTGTCAGTGCTATTTTACCGCGGGCTATTCAGTATTTTGTTGAAGCCTTATCATTTGACCATTAGAGTACGGTAAAACGTCCCACTTTGGTTGCCAACTGGTTATGAGTAAGGGCCGAGTCACCACCAGGTTCACTTTTTTCACCAGGTTCAGTTTTCGTCCAAGGCAGTCCAAGGCACAGCAGGGCTCGGTTTCTGAACGCGCACTTATGCGTGATTCAAGCCGCGCTGTCTTCCTGCGGGCAGCGCGCCACGTCAGTCCCTACAAGAATGAGAAATGATGCTGAGAGAACCTCCTATCTTCTGGGCTAACGGGGCATGTCTTGGAAATAGTCCGGATCCCAATCGCATCAAAAACTGGAATGATCCAGCGCATTCATAACGGTGTTCTTATGAAAGGTGGCTATATCGTCATTTACAAGGAAAAGCTCCAGATTGCTTTGCTTTTTTATTCCATGCGGGAAGAATGATGTCCGGATAATTTCGTTACACTCTGTACGTCAGTAACATCATAACATGGCCTTCGGAGATTTAGAACAGATGGAGTACCGTTTAAAAAAAGACAAAACTTCAGCATTTGTAAACAAAGTTGCCTAGCTGGAAAAATGAGCCAATTTCAAAATATGCACTGTTTCCAATATTTTGTCCGCCTATTCACCCCAATTAGCAGCAATTCATCGCAATGAAGCCACTTCTGGAACGTAAGACATTTTATTCAATATTGTTAGACATATTTATTAGACATATTTATAAAAATGTAAGACATTTTACATGCAAAAATGGTATGGGCGTCTTGGACGTGCCGGAAAATCTCGGATTTTTTACAATGCTTAGGATAGCAGCATATCTGATGAACCGACAACATTGAAGCACTCAAATCACGCTGTTTTTGGTGAACAACAAACTAAACTTGTTTACCGAAGCATCGCAGATTTAAATGACGACTGAGCGGTGAATCGGTGTCGCTTTTATGACAGACATTTATGCATAAAAAAATATCGCATAAAACCATGTTTTTGGCTAATAAATCGACCCACTGATAATGGTGGTCACCAAACTCCGTCAGTGTTTTGCTTCAACAGCATTTGTTTCACCTGTAATGCTGCTAAAGTAAAAGAAGTTATTGTCATAAATAAGGGCAATGGGCATCACACCTACCCTGGGCGTCGTAGACAGTTCTCTGCTACGTACTCATTACTCATTCACAAGATCTATCGTATCCATGCAAAATAATTTACCGAGAGGTGACGAATAATTGGTAACTTGACCTTGAGATGACAATATCGAAATGTACCAGGTCACGGTTATTACCCAAAAGGCCAGGCTGAGTAATGAGTATCAGCATTAAACTCGCCCAACGGTTTGGTCGGTTTGTGGTCGGGTCACTCTGCAAAGTGCACAGCACTGCACTCACCTGCAGTCGCAGAGTGTCGAGTTCCTCCGCGGTTCCTAGCTCCAAGCTGCCGGGCTGGGGAGGTCCAGAGCGCCGCGGCCACCCGTTCGCTGTCGGAGAGCCGCTGCTGTGTCCCGCTCGGCGGAGACGCTCAGCTCACAGGGCACCACTGCTGACCACCGACCTGTTGACTCGCCGCGTGGACCGTCCCGCCGGTGACGCCGCCTCCGCTGGACTCGCGGCCTGCCACCCGGCGGCCGCCGCGGCGGCCCCCGAGTCCCGACCCCCGGGGCGGCCTCGGCTCCGCCCCTCCGCCCCTCCACCCCTGTTCCTGTCCGCCGCCGACCGCACCGGCCACGTCCCCCCTCCCCCCATACCGGGGAGTACCGGCTCGGTCACATGAGGCACGCATTCCTCTCCCCTGCTAGCCGACCCTACCGCTCCGTTAGGGGGGGGGGACGGCGCCGACCCTCCCTCCCCCTCCCCTTGCCGCCGCGGGGCACGGGCACCGTTAGCCCGGCGCAGAGGGGCAGGGGTGAGGGGTGGCTGGGTGGCTGGCCCTTTGGGACTGAGCGGGACCGGGACGGGGGCCGACTCGGCTGTCACTATACAGTGGGAGCATTGTAAATGCAGATCGCATCCAAGCCAGTCAACCTATCTCGACGAGTGGCACATGTTAGTGACGAATGAATTGATACAGGATTTGGTGTTTGTTCATTTTTTTTTTCAAATAAACAAAAACAGTTGTGTTCGAGAACAAGTGACGTCATCGGTCAAATTTTGTGAACAAACAGCGAACAGTCTGCGAACGTTCATGAACTGTTCGCGAACATGGTAAAGAAGGGGTGGAAAGACCCCGGCCGTCTCGCTCCAAAGTTGAGCTAGAAACTTACGGAAAAAGTGAGCGCACGCATCGTTACGAGACACAGCGATTGCCGACTGGCATTCGATTTTAAGGTCTTGGGCCAACCGGTGACATCTGATGTCAGGTCAGGTGCCCCAAAGAAGGTAAGGTCAAAATCGTGGCCCAGGTGAAGAGGCTGGACTATGGGTCTATGTAGATGGATTGCGCTGCGTTAGAGTTTAACTATTGGCTCAGTCGAGGCCACGACAGACGGGTAGGTATGATAAATTATTGCCCTGAGCCGGTCATAACGTCCTCGGTAGGTGCATGACAAAAATTAGGAGAAGGTACAAAAATACGTGTATACGAGCAGTCCGCTGAAAAAGACTTACATACATATATAATATACATATATGGTACTTTGCACGAAAACGTCATTTTTAAAAGGCCATCGGCTTTCACCGTGTCGGCTGCAGGGGTCAATATCGTCATCATACAGTTGCACGGTTTGCTGACGTCACCACCGTTGTCTGCACGGGTCGATGACGTCACTGGCGTCGGCGCCGATAGGTGGCGGATTAGCGCCGCTCCGAGCTGAGGCGATAGGCGTCTGAGGGCAGTCTGATTCCCGACGGCTCTCGGTCCCGGTAGCGCTATAGCGAGGGGAGGGAAGGGGGAGGAGGGGGGGGGGGCACCGTGAGCTGTCTGAAATCGGACGCGATCCGACCGATCCGTGCCGGGCGGCCGATAGCCACCATTCGCGTCAGCACCGGCTCACTAGATAAGACAGCCAGAGATAGGTGGGCAATCGGCGCGCCCCGGCCAACCGACGGCGGCCCAGTGGGCGGCCGTGACCAGTGACTGACCCGCGGCAGCTGCAGGTGTCCCGTCGGGTCAGGTCGGGTCAGGTCAGGTCAGGTAGCGTGGGGTGCTCGCCGGCGATACCATGGCGCGAGTTGGGCGGACTGGCCCGCGGACTGTCCTACTGCTGCTGCTGGCTACCTTCGTCAGTGCAGGTTAGTCCATATGATGAAGAATGTCCTATATAGTTAATATGCATACATATCCGGTTTTTCAGGTAGAGGAAGGTGGGGTAAGAGGAAAGTGGGGTAATAGTGGAGCAACACGAACCACCATCCCTCCCGACTCAGCCGCCGCTGCTGCTATCTGCTGCTTTATGCACACACTACCTTTGTTTTCCTTCGCGTTAATGGCCACTTCATGGGCTCATGGGGCCAGGGCGCATGGATTTTGAGCTTTTGAGAAAATTGATAGTTTTGTCAAACTAGTCTCATGTTAGAGGTATGAAGAAAATTTAATGTTGGTGCCTTTCTTCCATGATTACTTTGTGTTGCATTTTACTGTGAAGAGCGATGCTATATTTACACGTAAGGATTTCGCAATGTTGGGCTATTTCGCAAGGCGTCATGAAAATGACAAAACTTCCGATTTGGGATTAGCCGGACCACTGTGGTCCATCTTACCATGTGGTAGTCATTTTACACCGCACGTGAAAAAACTGCAAAAACATTGTCATAAGTTTTAAATTTGATAAGCTAATTTTCAAGGAAGGGTCTTTGTTACAGGCGTGCATAGTGTAGTGTTACTGTGTTGCGTCGCTGGCCGCCCGGCCGGCCGGCTGGGGGTCCACCGGCCGGCCGACCACTGAGCGGTCATCGCCCGAGGCCGCCGACCGGTCACGTGACCAGGCGCGGTCGGGCGGACGGGGTGCGCCGAGCTGCGACCGGCAGAACTGTGGGGACCGCGTCGCCGGTCGGATGAGGTACGCGGCCGGCTCACTTGATTAGGGATTTGCTCGATATTGGTTACACGTCTTGTCTCATGATTGGCTTTCGTTTATCTCATTCTCTTTTACAATACAGGGGAGTGTGGGGCACATTCGTGCAAAAAATGGATAAATCCATATCTCTGTTCGTCGGTTAGTGCAATGGCATGGCAAAATTGTTGATTGTAGTATTATATGAAAAGGAACTATTGCAGATAGTTTTCCTCTTTTAAAGTTATCCTCTAAAGTTATCGCTTCTATTAGAAAAAAATGACTTTTAATAACTCTGAACGTTTGCACAAAACTGCCCCATGTATGGGGCACATTCGTGCAAGGGGTGGGGCACTTCCGTGCACCCTGCAAAGTTCGAGGAATTACCGGGCATTGCCAGAAATTTACCAAGAGAAATTGGCAGCGGGTCATTTTACTTGATTCCTTTCGACAAGAATGCATTGCACAACGTATGTAGAAAGCAGTGGTTTCCGCGTGCGATAACATGAGCGATAAACAATAAACGATAATTACGGAGCGAGCGAAGCGAGCGTAGTCTTTCCTTAGATTAACGGAAATTTCTGAGTATGAGCGGCCGGCCGGCCGGCCGGCCGGCCGTGGTCACGCTTTTGCGACGCTTATATCTCAGCAACCACTTGACCGATTTACACGCGGTAATTTTTGTAGGGTAGCTTCATTCCTTCTACCAAGTATTGGACTATTCACGATGCATGTGGGTGACCCCTTATGCACGTGCCACGTGCAAAACGAAGAGGTGTCACTTTTATAATTGTTGCAATATCTCGGTAACCACTTGGCCGATTGCGCTGAAAGTTGGCATGCAAGTAGGCACCCACTAGGCAATGCATATCCATGTGCCAGAGTTGGGGTGCTGCTGCACGTGCACACGTGCAGGGGTCGTTTCCAGATCTCGAGAACGGCTCGACCGATTGCGCTCAAATTTGGTACACAGTTAGGGACCGGTTAGTATAGGGTGCCGTGCAAAAGTCAGTCGGGACCCATTTTGCACGTGCGCACGTGCAGGGTGCCGCTTCCAGATCTCGAGAACGGCTGGGCCGATTGTGCTCAAATTTGGCACATCGCTAGAGACCGGTTAGTAGGGTGCCATGCACAAGTCAGCTGGAGGTACCCCGTCGAAATTTCGCACGTGCAAGGCTCACCCTCTCGCTCGCTCCGTTAGTCGCCCCAAAAGGCGTTATACTGGTTATCACTGTTAAGTAAATCGGTTATTACGGAGCGAGCGAAGCGAGCGTAGTCTTTCCTTAGATTAACGGAAATTTCTGAGTATGAGCGGCCGGCCGGCCGGCCGGCCGGCCGTGGTCACGCTTTTGCGAGGCTTATATCTCAGCAACCACTTGACCGATTTACACGCGGTAATTTTTGTAGGGTACCTTCATTCCTTCTACCAAGTATTGGACTATTCCCGATGCATGTGGGTGACCCCTTATGCACGTGCCACGTGCAAAACGAAGAGGTGTCAGTTTTGTAATTGTTGCAATATCTCGGTAACTACTTGGCCAATTGCGCTGAAAGTTGGCATGTAGGTAGGCACCCACTAGGCACTGCATATACATGTGCCAGAGTTGGGGTGCTGCTGCACGTGCGCACGTGCAGGGGTCGTTTCCAGATCTCGGGAACGGCTGGACCGATTGCGCTCAAATTTGGTACACGGTTAGGGACCGGTTAGTGGGGTGCCGTGCACAAGTCAGTTGGGACCCATTTTGCACGTGCGCACGTGCAGGGTGCCGCTTCCAGATCTCGAGAACGGCTGGGCCGATTGTGCCCAAATTTGGCACATCGCTAGAGACCAGTTAGTAGGGTGCCGTGCACAAGTCAGTTGGAGGTACAGTCACCAGCAGTTGCTACCCATCACCCCCGGACGGCGGGGGAGCAAGCTACCACCGCCCCTGCGAGACTAGCGCCGCCATGCGCCAAGAAGTGGAAACACCACGTGACTGAGGCCACGTGAGGGCAGGGTCACGTGATGGAAGGGCGGAGCATAGTAGCTTTTGCGCCCGACACTAACTGAAATGCGGCGCTGTGATTGGGCGCCGTAGCATGAATGAAGCCCCGTCGCCAGAATCAGCCGTTCGCCTTATATGGAAAGTGAGCCTTTGCGTTTCACTGTTCTGTATTGGTTTGAGAGCCACGGCACCATACGAATTGTGAGCCCCTTTGAACGGGTCACCGCCCGAGGCACTGAGGCGACGGTTGTGCCAGGCAAAGTCTAGCCTGGTGGGAGAGGTGGGCCAGGGAAAGTGCGATCGAGCAGCCACTGGGACGTGGATTGGTATTATCCAACCGCGACTAACGATGTCAGCAGCCTCTTCTCGTGTCATAGACAGTGTTTATGACACGAAAAGCTAGACAGACAATGTGGGCAGTGCCCAATCAAAAGCTACTAAACGATTCAGTTAAGAAGTTGGCGAGGTAGCCAGACTAAAAAAAAAAATTAATTCGATATTGGTTGAAAAATGACACAAGCCCGCTGCAGGACCAAAAAAGGAGCTGAACAGTTCATACAACTTTTAAAAAGCTCAACGGTTTAAAGATTCAAAAGTTAAATGTTAAAATTCAGCCTGCATGCGATAGGCGTTATCACAAGTGTATTCGCGGCCATTGGGGCGACATAAGAAAAGAGGAAAACAATTGGCACCAAGAACTTTAAATTATCAGTTAGCATGCATCTTTTCCTTGATATGTAGATAATTTACCATTAATTGTTAGAGAAAATTGCATATAAAACCTTCCATTTATGCTTTTTTCATCGTTTGCATAGTATGTTCTTTTACTAAGCTAGAGACACTAATTAGAAATAGTTCCCGCATCATCATCAAGAACAATAGGAAAGGCTTGAAGTGAATACAATAATCTAAATGGTTTTGTAATCAATGTGAAGACACTTCTAAAATTGCCTGTAGAAATATTGAAGGCAAAAGTTCAATTTTTCACAAGACGGATGTCTATAAACCTATTCAACGTGTGACAACTCAGCCGGTATTTCGTCGCCTTCAGCCAAGCTTTCCCTAGTGACCGATAGAGGCGCTGCTATCGATGTCCGCCCGTGCCGCCTAACGTGTTTAAACTCTGGTCCGGCGCTGGCAGGAAGCTCCTATATTGCCACTTGCAATTCCACTACGTTGTAATATAACCAAGATTTATGTGAGAGCAGCAACTGAAAGCCCCGTTGAGGGGGGAGGGGAGAGGGTAGCGCGAAACGGCCCCCTCTCTCCTTTTCAGTCAATATCTCCTAAAGTATAGTAAATGTCGATGTCGCCACTTAACTTTCAAGACCCCTCCGGGCATCATTTCAACACCTTGTGACCAATTTTTTCCAGAGCTCTTATGAAAGGTTAGTCACAAATGACGTCAGAGGGATGTCGTGTTCTGTCATTTTCGACCCAATAAAAGGTTTAGCGGGAAGAGCTGTCACGCTTACAGTTTTGAAGATAACGAAAAATGTTCAAGATAAAAAAGATGTAAAATAAACAGCGCTACCAAACTGCTAACTCTTATTTCCAAAAAAAAAAAAAGATTTTGACCATCAAAACTATAGAACTATAACACCCCAAAAATACCAACAACTTTCAAAATTAAAATTGAAATATATGTTCTATAGCTATGTGCTCTAGGTATGCCAAACTTAACCCGCGCGGGGCTGGGGTCTCCAGCCGAACGCGCGGGGCTGGGGGGGGGTAAATTTTACCCCCCCTGTTATCTCCCGAACTAATGGTCCGATTTGGAAAATTCAAACGCCAATCGAAAGCTCTCATCACGAACTACTAAAAACATGTACTTAATTTAAAGTTTGAGGTCAAGGTCAAGGTCAGGTCAAGGGTACAAATTGCAAGTTTCTACAGTATCGGCCTGGCACCGTAGTTGCCGAAGAATGGAGTCATGGACTGAGACTGATCGCCCAAAAGGTGTTCTTAGGCTACCAAGACAATATTCGTTGCATACAATATCATTCAGAGGTCAAGGTCAAGGTCAGGTCAGGTCAGGTCAGGTCACCAAAAAACAAAATATAGAAAAGGGCATGTGCGACACATGTTTTATGGGTCATTTTACTCATAGAATTCAATAGGCACACTCAATAAGTGATATGGACCACCTCTGGATGAATTTCAGGTCGAGGTCAGGTCAAGGTCAGGTCAAGTGAGGTCAAATTTTGAAGTTGGTTGTTAAGGCCTAAAAAGGTGTCTATCTGATGCAGTTTTT